ACTTCAAAAAACGATGAAATAATTTTTTTCGAAATTTCCAGAAAAACTGACTTTTCAGATTTTTTTTCCTTTTTTTTAAAGCTTTTTTTCTATCCAGAAATTCCCCCAATTTTTGTAGTTTTTCGGCCCAAAAATTCATTTTTTTCGCCCAATTTTCAGACGAATTTTCTGAAATTTCATCAGGATTTTGACAAAATTCGAAACTCGAATTTCAGCTCATTTTAGCTCAAAATTTTTGATTTGATGGAAAATTTCAAAAATCAATTTTCAGCGAAAAACCAAAAAATGGAGCAATCACCTTAAACATTGGACTGAAAATCGCAAAAAAATATAGCTTTAAAAAAATCAAAAATCCAAAAAATCGATTTTTTGAGCAATTCTTCACAGATGTTTAAAATCAATTTTGAGATCATTTTCAGCCTCTCTCATCCTATGGCTCCTCCTTGCTCCACAAACTCCTCCTCATCAAACTCATTCATCATTTTGATTTCCTCCATCGTCAGCACGACCATTGGTGGATCGGCTTCCTCGTACACATAGTCATATTTAGGTCCCCCTAGAACCGGATCAATCTCTTCCTCTGCATTCACTTCTTCGTTATCGAAAATCGGTGTGAACAGTTCGGGATGAACGTTTCGACGGTGTCGCATCATGTAGCAACGGCGGGCGAAGACAGCGTTGCAGCCTGGAAATCGTATATTTGAAGCTTTTAAAATCTCCATTCTCGCCGTAAAACCAAGATATTTTGCGCTCGAAAATGCCAATTTTTCCGGCTAAAAATCAAAATTTCTGACTCAAAAATAACCTATTCAAGTCCAAAAAACCAGTAATTTTCTGTTACAAAAGGTCCATTTCAATTCTTGGGAATGAATCGATTGGCGCCGAGAGACGTTATTTTCTCAGAGAATGCCCCACTTCTCGATCCCAAAAATGCTTATTTTGCAATGTAAAATATCGAGATTTCAGTCTGAAATCAGCTAATTTTGGTTCTGAAAGTGACTATTTCAAGGCTGAAAATGTCCATATTTTGACCGATAAGAACGTTAATTTGAGGGCGAAGAAATGCTAGAAATATTGACAAAGCTGGACGGACCATCACTTTTTTCAGGTTTAATATTTTGGAATCAACTAAATTGGATACTCTAAAAAATTCAAGGGAAAAAATTCAAGATGCTTCTATTTGTGAAGCTGTAGCTCGTATATGGAAAAGGGTAGGGGATCAAAAAACCATAGTTCCTTGATTTAAAAATTTCAAATTTCGATGAATTCGAGGCTAGAAATTTGTAGTTCCTGGCCGATAAAAACGTTAATTTGAGGCCTAAAAACGAGCCAAAAATGAGTCAAAATGACTCCGAAGTGGGCCAAAAATAAGCCACACATGTGTCAGAAACTAGCTATAAATATGCCAAAAAACGAGCCAGGAATGGTTCACAAGCGAGCAAAAATAGCTCAATAATAAGACAAATATATGCCCAAAATGAATCAAAATGCTTCCAAAAGCGGGATAAACTAGCCTATAATGGCTCAAAAACGGCGAAAATTTGTCAAAAACAGGCCAAAACGGTCCTTCCTCTAGCTTCTTTCAGGCTCCAAATTTTTGGTCCATCTAAATTCGATATGATAGAAGTACTCGAGAACTACAAAATGATACTAATTAGGATACTGTATCTTGCCTATGAACAAAGTTACAAGCCATTCAGAAAGCTATATCGTTTTTGACCCATAACTTTGTTCATAGAATAGATACAGTATCCCAAATAGTATCATTTTGTAGTTCTTGATTTTTTCTACCGTAACCAGTTTAATGGGTTGGGAAATATTGACAATGAAAGAAGTTATGGAAATGATCGTTTGGTCTGTTTTTGGCCAAATTTCGCTAAATTTTTGGTCCGTTTTAGAGCCATTATTGGCTAGTTTGTCCCGCTTTTGGAAGCATTTTGATTCATTTTGGGCATATATTTGTCTTATTATTGAGCTATTTTTGTTCGCTTGTGAGCCATTTCTGGCCCGTTTTTTGGCATATTTATAGCTAATTTTTGACACATGTTTGGCTTATTTTTGGCCCACTTCAGAGCCATTTCGACTTATTTTTGGCTCGTTTTTAGGCCTAAAGTTACCGTTTTTATCGGCCAAGAACTACAAATTTCTAGCCTCGAATTCATCGAAATTTGAAATTTTTAAATCAAGGAACTATGGTTTTTTGATCCCCTACCCTTTTCCATATACGAGCTTCACAAAAAGAACCATCTTGTAGGATACTGTATCTTGCCTATGAACAAAGTTGCAAGCCATTCAAAAAGCTATAATCTTCTAAAGTTCTTCTACCGTATCCATTCTAGTTGGTTCAAAGTTAACGAGCCTGAATGAAGCTTTGAATTAATTCGTCGCCTAATTGGCTAATTCGCTTCAGAAGCGCAGAATTTTAGAGATCATTTTGCTACATTTTAGGTATTTTTAGACCAGATTCTAGCCACAGATTCTAGTCTCATATGTCATTTTTCAACTAATTTCAGGTATTTTAGCTGTTTGAAGCCAATTTTCTGCAAATCTCACCTTTAACAATACATGTATATCTTTTGACCCCAGCATGTACCGCCATCTCGTGCTCTTTTCTCACTGAATCATTCACAAACGTCGCATTACACCATGTACATTGCACCGTCCGTTCGGCGGTGTGCATTCGTTTGATATGCGTTTTCAGTGACGACGCTTTGGACAGCATTAGACCACACTCTCCACATTGGTATGGCTTTTCGCCGGTGTGCGTTCGAATGTGCTCCTGGAAAAAGAGGGTTTTATGGCTTAAAATAGGCTAAAGTTGGTCTAAAAATCACTCGAAATGACCTTAAAGGTGGTGTACGGTGAAATTTTTCTATTGCATCAAAATGTGCAGAAATGCATGTAGATTGAAATAAAAATAAAGAAAAAATTCAAAAAAAAACCTTCATCGAGAAAAACGCATCGAAAAATAGGCTGAAAGCCCTTAGGGACGAGCTTTTTCCGCTTGTTTTTCTAGTCCACCCGGTGAGTAAATGCGCGCGAATTCAAACTTTTAAATTGTTTTCGTCCGTTTTCACTGTTTTTTTTCTGTTTTTTCAAGATTTTTCAAGGTTTTTGTTAATTTTTCTCCAAGATACACAGAGGAAAACCTGCTTTAATCGACAAAAACCTTGAAAAATCTTGAAAAAAACGGAAGAAATTATTTTGAAAGTTTGAATTCGCGCGCTTTTACTCTCCGGGTGGCCTAGAAAAACAAGCGAAAAAAGCTCGTCCCTAAGGGCTTTCAGCCTATTTTTCGATGCGTTTTTCTCAATGAAGGAATTTTCATTTTGAATTTTTTCTTCATTTTTATGTCAATCTACATGCTTTTCTGCACATTTTGATGCAATAGAAACATTTCACTGTACACCACCTTTAAAATAGGTTAAAGTTGGTCTAAACTGTGTGAAAAGTGATCTAAAATAGTCGAAACCTGTTTTTTAGTCATTTTCCAATAATTTCCCACTAGATTCAAGCTTTTTCTGACTCACTTTAGCTCGTTTTCAACTACTTGCGTCCCCTACTTCTGCCAACTTTTTTGGGAATTTTTCAGAGTATTTTAGGCCAACTTTGGGCAGTTTCACACCAATTGAAGCGACATTTTAAAGAACATATTGACTCTGGGCTCCTTTTTACTAATTTAGGCTAGTTTTGATCCATTCTAATCAATTTTCAGGTCCAAAATACTCTAAAAATTCTCTGAAAGCAATTTTTCATAGTAGAACAATTTAAGAGCATTTTATGGTTTTTTAAAAGCTATTTTAGTCTATTTTTTTTGGCTCATTTTCAACGTTTTTGAGAGTAATATGACACAATTCAAAGCCATTTCTAATTGATTTTTGACAAAAATTTGATGATTATGGATACAGTAAAACCTGTAATAGAAGGGCCCTCTAGCTTCCAACTTTGAGCCCATATATCTCGATTCCTGCATAAGATATCAAAAAGTGGTCAACTAATAAATTGTTTATCATAATATCACTATTATCTTATTAGTTGACACATTCTTGATATCTTTCACAGGAATCGAGATAAATTGTCTTAAAGCTGACAGTGTGGGGGCCCTTCTATTACAGGTTTTACGGTATTTTTGCTCCAAAAAAGATTTCCCAAAAAACTTACAGCAATCTTACTGGGATGTTTCAGATACAGCCCACAAACTCCGCATTGTGCAATCGTCGCCAGCCTTGTCTTCGCATATGCTCTTTTTTTAGGCACCTTATCCGTCTCAACTGTCTGCGTCTCGTCGTGAGGATGAGGGACATTCAGCACTTTTTGGAGTACTGTAGAGATGACGTCGTCGATACGGGCGTTCGATTCTAGCTCTTTTTCAGTTAGTTCTTCTTCGTCTATTGGTAATCCATCGTCTTCTAATGGGAAGTTTAGAGAGGATTTGGAGCGTTGGGGAGCGTAGTGGAGAGATCTCGAGGTGGCGGTGGACGTTGATGGGGTATCGTAGCCAGTGGATCTGCGAAAAATTGGAATAATCATTTTTCGACTATTTTTAGCCGATTTTTCGTATATTTTGAGCCGGTTTTTCAAATTATTTTTCGACGGTTTTTAGCTGTTTTTTCGAGCATTTTCAGCCAAAAAATAGCCATTTTCGACTATTTTTAGCCAATTTTCGCAGATTAAAAAAAAAATTTTTTAGCCGATTTTCGCAGACTTTTAGACGATTTTTAGCCGATTTTTCGACCAATTTCAGTCAAATTTTCGATAATATAAAGTCAACTTTTGGACCGTCCTTAGCCCGTTTTCAGCCAATTTTCAGCTGTTTTTAACCGATTTTTCTTACAGTTTCAGCCTTTTTTTTCCGAAATTTCCTGAAAAAACTCACAAATCCGGTGGTGCGACGAAAATCGAAGAAGCGGACATTGCCAATCCTCCGTTATCAATCAAAATGCTCTGACTTTCGAGTTGAGGACAGATCATCTTCTTGTCCGGTTTCAGGTGCGGTCGTGGTGGTCCTTGGCGTTTCTGGAAGGATTTAGGGATTTAAAAATTATATTTTCACTGTTTTTAGCTCAAAAAACGCCATTGAAAACTGTAAAAAAGCTATTTTCCTCATTTTTTCACAACGGCTCAAAAATCGGTTTCCCATAATTTTTTCCTCAACTTTCAGCTTAAATTGCTCATGTTGCCATCAATTTCTCACTAAATTCTGGCTCAAAATTGCTTTTTTTCCATCATATTTCTACTAATTTTTAGCTCAAAAATGCTCATTTTCCCTTCTGAAACTTGTCAAAAATATACTTTTCATCGCATTTCTATTGAATTTTGGCCCAAAAATTGTCATTATTTTGCCAAAAATGCTCATCAAAATTCGTAAAAAAATACTTTTTTCGCACTTTAAGCACATTTTGGCTGGAAAACTGTCATTTTCTTTATAATTTTCACTAATTTTCAGCTCAAAATGCCTAATTTTTATCGCTAGTTTCTGGCTAAAAAAAGGTCATTTTCCTTTCAAATTTTCAACATTTTGTGGATCGAAATTGCTCATTTTTCATTATTTTTTCACCAATTACTGGCTCGAAATCTGCTCATTTTCCATTATAATTCCACCGATTTTTAGCTCAAAAATGCTCATTTTACCCTTAAAATCCGTAGAAAATACTTTTTATATACTTTTTATCGCATTTTAAGCACATTTTGGCTCGAAAATTGTCATTTTTTCATATTTTTTTTTTGCCAAAAATTAATTTCTTATTTTAATTCTAATTTTCACTAATTTTCAGCTCAAAATGCCTCATTTTTTTCACAAGCTTCTGGCTCGAAAAAGGTCATTTTCCCTTCAAATTTTCAATATTTTGTGGGTCCAAATTGCTCATTTTTGGTTCGAAAATGCACATTTTCGGCCGGCAATTAATTAATATTTGAACGCGCGACATTTTTATTATCTCTCCGAGTACTACGATCCTTCAACGAACGAATTTTTCTGGCTCAAAATTGAATTCTGGCTCAAAATTGCTCATTTTTTAATTTCTGGCTCAAAATTGCTCATTTTTTCATTAAATTTTTATCAATTTTGGCTCAAAATGCCTCATTTTTATCACTAGTTTTTGGCTTGAAAAAGGTCATTTTCCCTTCAATTTTTCAATATTTTGTGGGTTCAAATTGCCCATTTTTGGTTCGGAAATGCAGAAATGCATTATTTTTTCACCAATTACTGGCTCAAAATCTGCTCATTTTTCATCGAATTCTGACAAATTTTTGGCTTAAAATTGCTCATTTTTCCTTGCAAAAAACTCTCACCTCTCCCCGATGCCTCAACTCGTGTGCATTCTTCCTCGCATTGCTCACAAATCGCCGCCCACATCCAAAACCACACGTAAACGGGAAATCGCCGAGATGTTGTGCTCTATAGTGATGCATGTACGGCGTATTTTGACTGAATCGTTTGCCACACTGATCACATGAGAATGGCTTTTCGCCAGTATGGGTTCGCATGTGTTCCTGCAAAATGGGCGAATTTTAAGCTTAAAATGGGCTGAAATGGTCTAAATAGCTAGAAATTTTGCTTTTTCTCTTTCTGAAAGCTTCAAACCGCTCACTTTCATCCTTGAAGGGTATTTGAGCTCTAGACCACACACTTGACAGGCTGTCACTGTTGCCGGGCGATTTGTTCGTTTTCTGGAATTTTTTTTCAATTTTTCATGAAAAGTATTCAAAATTTTGTACCTTTTCGTTTGAAAAAACGGCTTGATATTCTTAATATTCTCCTCTGTGATCATATTCGACTCCAACGCCTCGTCCACCGCCCATTCCTCGAAAATTGGCTCGGGATCCTTGAAAAAGATCTACTTTTTCCGGTTTTTTTGTTTAAAAAAATACCTGAAGCATTTGCAATTCATCTTCGATGCCGTCCTCGATTTTCATAATTGTTGGAGACCTAAAAAATGAAAAAAAAATTTTTCGCGGAAAATTAATATTTTTCGAATGGAAATTGTGGTTAAATGAATTACAAATTAGGTTATTTTTAATTCATTTGTAATCCAAATTCTATTTTTTTACTCCGAAAAAGCCCAATTTTCAACCTAGAATATCGATTTTTCGCGAATAGCAGAATAAATAAAAATTGCAGAAAAAGCAACGACACTCCGCATATCCCGCCCGCCCATCGTTGGCGGTAATTCAAATTAGAATTCTTTAAATACATTTTTCCGGGTTTTTTCCGGGTTTCAATTTTAACCACTAAAAAGCGTTTCCAGGTCAAAAAATCTTGAAAATAACGATTTTATTCATAGAAAATGCAAAAACAAGGCACAAATTATACACAATTTTACAGAGAAAGTCGAAAAAATAGGAAAAATCACATCAAATTCTGTTTATAGGCATGAATAATATCGGAAATCATGGCCATTTTCGCGTTCAACGACGATTCGATTTGTGTGAAAATGTGCTTGGTAGCCGCTTCGTCCGACAAATCCAGCCGGAGACGTTGTTCAATCTGAAAATATTTTTTTTTCAAAAATTTCGAAATTTCAGATTTTCTGAAATTTTGAGGCAATTTCCAGCCATGTTTTGAATGGTTTTGCTTTTTTTTGAAGTAAAAGGAAAAAATTTTTTTTTCAAAATTAAAAAAAATTCCGATTGCTCACCTTAAAAATAGCCTTATCGGGCTCGGAAGCGATATCGGGAATTCCGGCGTCCAGCATCAACGAGAACAAATTCAGAAGGACGTTCGAGTGTCTTCTGAGGATACGATACGCAGAATCCACGTGTTGAACAAATTCCAGGAATTGTTGAGATTTGGCTCCACCCATTACCTGGAAAAAAAGGGAAAATATGGCGATGTTCTAAAGTGTCACAGTTTTGAAACGTCCTATTTCTAAAATGCCACAGTTCTAGAATGTCGCAGTTCCAAAGTGTGACAAGGTTCTAAAGAATCACAATTCTATGTCTATATTGTCCAAATTCTATATGGTCATAGTTCTAAGACGTCATAGTTCTACAATGTCACAGTTCTCAACGTTCGTAGTTCGAAAATGTCACATTTTCAAGATTGAAAAAGTTCGAGAATGCCGCAGTTCTGAAATATCGCGACTTTAAAACTTAGTTAGAGACAGTTCTAAAATGTCATAGTTCTGAAAGTGCTGCAGTTGTATAACGTCGCAGTTTAAGTGTCCTACGGTTTTAGAGTGTCGTAGTTCTAAAGTTTAGCAATTTCGAAGCTTATTTAGAGACAGTTCGGAAACGTCACATTCGCCAATATGGAGCAGTTCTAAAACGTCGCAGTTCTAAAATGTCATAGTTTTAAAAAGTCGAAGTTTAAGTACCTTACAGTTCTAATTCGACACATTTCTAAAATTTTAAATTTTCAACATTCAAAAACTTCTAAAATGTCAGAGTTACAAAACGTCCCAGTTCTCAAGTGTCCACGTTCTGAAACGTCACAGTTCTGAAACGTCGCAGTTGCACAATGGAACAGTTCTAAAACATCAAAGTCCTGAGTGATCATAGTTTTTAAATGTCGCAGTTATACAGTGTCACAGTTCTATAACGTCATAGTTCTCAAATGTCGCAGTTCTAAAGCGTCGTATTTCTGAAAGTTCGCAGTTTGCTTTAGAGTTTCAAGATCGAAAAAATTCTAAAGGTGCAATAGTTCTCAAATGCCGCAGTTCTGAAACGTTACAGTTCTAAAACGTCACAGTTCTAAAATATTTTTTTGAAATTCTGAGAATCCTTAAAGAGACTTTAAAAAATCTAAAAATCCTGAAAATCTTAAAAACCCAAAAATTATAAAAATTCTAATAATTTCTTCAGGGATTTTTAGAATTTTAATTTCTTCAGTTTTAAAATGTCGCAGTTCTATAACGTCGCAGTTTTGAAATTTCATAGTTCTAAAGTGTCGTAGTTACGGAATGTGTCATTTTCAAGGTCTAAAAAGTCGTCGTTGTAAAATTTCGTAGTTCTAAAATGTCGCAATTCTAAAGAAATCTTTAAAAATCCTGAAAATCTTAAAAACCTAAAAATTGTGAAAATCAAATTTTTATAGTTCCAAAACGTCGCAGTTCTAAAACGTATTACCTGAACCATTTCGGAAGTCAGCTTCATCGGCGGAGGCATCGGTTTGGGATCGCGTCCCAAAATGAATCCGAAATCCACGTGGAACAATTTTCCATTCTCACAAAGTAGCAAGTTATCTAAATGACGATCGCCAAGTCCCAAAATGTACATAATCACCGAGTAGCCCGCAAGCGAGCGTACATAATTATCGATAACATTCGGTTCGATTCCAAACGGTCCATCGCCTGGCCTCAATTCTTTCATTGCCTCTCGAATACAATCCAGCTTATGGGCTTTGTATTGTTCTTGAATCGCTCGCAGCGGCTTTGATTTGATGCACTGCACGAATCCTTGGCCGACACCTGTGGCTAGGACCTGGAAGTTAAGGATGAGCAATTTTTTAACTGTAGATTCGGTTACTGTAGATCTGGTAGAGGTTGGTGAGAGAGCTGTGACATAACCGATATCGTTCTAAGCTGTCGCAGTTCTAAAATGTCGCAGTTCTAAGATTTCATAGGTTCTAGAACGTCGCACTTTCAGAATTGCGAAATTCTGATATGTCAAAGTTCCAAAGCACCTTAGTTCTCATCTGTCACACTTCTCAGGAGTTATAGTTTCAAAACGTCGCAGTTCTAAAGCGTCCTAATTCTAAAACGTAACAGTTTCAAATATCGGTTCTAGAACGTTACAGTTCTAAAATGTCGCAGTTCTGAAACGTCGTAGTTCAAAAACATCTTAGCTAGGATGCCATAGTTCTAAAATGTCGCAGTTCTAAAATGTCATAGTCCTAAAACTTCAGAGTTATAATATTGCAAATTATTAATGAAATGTCGCAGTTTTGAGATGTCACAGTTCTAAAACGACCTAGTTCTAGAATGTCGCAGTTCCAAAGTGTCACGGTTCTAAAGAATCACAATTCTAGGTCTATTATGTCAAAACTCTATATCCTCCTAATTCTAAAATGTCATAGTTCTAAAATGTTACAGTTCTATAACGTCCCAGTTCTAAAATGTCGCAGTTCTAAGATTTCATAGTTCTATAGTACGTCATACTTTCCGAATTGCGAAATTCTGATATGTCAAAGTTCTAAAACGTCTTAGTTCTAATCTGTCACACTTCTCAGGAGCTATAGTTTCAAAACGTCGCAGTTCTAAAGCGACGTAATTCTAAAACGTAACTGTCCCGAAATGTCGGTTCTAGAACGTTACAGTTCTGAAACGTCGCGGTTCCAAAACAGTTCCATTTCCTTACCAAATAGGGTGTCAACTTCAAATCCAATTGCTCCTTTTTCAAAATGATATCAATCAGTCGGACCATTTGTTGAATCAGCTGATCTTGCCGCAAATCGTCGCCCGTTTTGAAAATCACAGTGTACTCCTCAAGGAAGTTCTTGTCCACTTTTCCAGTCACTGGTTGCACCTGAAACATTTGAAATTCTTATGAAAATTCAAAATTTCGAACCATTTTTCATGATTTCTCGACCTTTTTCTCATAAATTTCGTGTCATTTTTAGTTGTTTTAAGACCATTTTCTGCAAATTTTGGGCTTTTGGGCGTCGGTTAAAATGTCCATTTTCATGGTTTTTTGGACCGTTTTTCATGAATTTTGGACTATTTAAATAGTTTTAAGATTAAATTTCTGCAAATTTTCAGTCTTTAGGTCATTTAAAATGGTCCAAGAAATTTTTCTGGAACTAAAAACAATTTTTTCAACAATTTGCAGTCGATTTTCGATCATTTTTCATGAATTTCTAATGATTTTAAATGGATTTTACACCATTTTCCATGAATTTTTGATAATTTTATATGCATTTTTGACCGTTTTTCATAAATTTCGTGTCATTTTTAGTTGTTTAAAGACCATTTTCTGCAAATTTTGGTGTTTTAGTCAGTTAAAATGTCCATTTTCATGGATTTTGGACCATTTTCTATGAATTTCGGACAATTTTTTATAAATTTTCAATGATTTTTAATGTATTTGGGACTATTTTTCATGAAATTTGAACTATTTTTCAAGCATTTCTGACCGTTTTTTAAGAATTTCGAACCATTTTTCCTAAATTTTGGGTCATTTTTCATGATTTTTTGACCTTATTTCATAAATTTCGTGTAATTTTTAGTCGTTTCAAGACCATTATCTGCAAATTACATATGGTCATTTAGTCAGTTAAAATGCCCGTTTTCATGGTTTTCGAACCGTTCTTCATGAATTCGGAACTATTTTAAATCAATTTTGGGCCATTTTTCATGAAATTTTGGATCATTTTTCATGATTTTTGGACCGTTTTCCAGGAATTTTGAACCATTTTTTATAAATTTTTGGTCATTTTTTAGGAATTTTGGGCAATTTCCAATACATTCCTGGTCATTTTTAGCAAATTTCAGATCGTTTTTGACGAATTTTGTATCATTTTTCATGATTTGTAGGCCATTTCCCATAATTTTTGAACCATTTCTAATGAATTTTGGACCAATTTTTATACGGTACCTTAAACGAAATCTTCGCGGGCATCATTTCTGACTTAAAGAATCCCGCGGTATCCGGAATCACGGAAATCAATCGATAACTCGGATCCAGCGGTAGATGAACTCCTTTCAAGTCCAGCATATGCTTGGCTCTCGACAGCATCGTCCGGAATTCCGCCGATTTTCCATCGTTCAACCGTCCTCCTCTTGCCTTGGCCTCGTTCATCAACACAATTAGATCCTCAACAAAGATCTGTTGTTTCTGAAGGGAATCCACCTGATCCCGTGTGTCATGTCGTTTTTCGAGGGCCTCTTTCAGACGGTCCTGGATTCTTTGATACATGTTTGAGAGGTGCTCCTCGGTGGTTTTCGTCGATTCGATTTCCGTTTTTAGATGCCAATAGAGGTAATTGGACACTTTGGGAGAGGCCAGGGCGTAGCTGAAAAGACGGGAATTTGGAAATTCTATGACTCCCTAGTTCTAAAGTGGTCCAGTTTTAAAATGTCGCAGTTTTGAGATGTCATAGTTCTATAACGTCCTAGTTCCAAAATGTCGCAGTTCTAAGATTTCATAGTTCTAGAACGTCACATTTTCAGAATTGCGAAATTCTAATATGTCAAAGTTCTAAAACGTCACAGTTCTAACGTTCTATAACTACCTAGTCCCAAAGTGTCCCCGTTTTAAAATGTCGCAGTTTTGAGATGTCATAGTTCTGTAACGTCCTAGTTCCAAAATGTCGCAGTTCCAAAGTGTGACACGGTTCTAAAGAATCACAATTCTACGTCAATATTGTCAAAATTTTATGTCGTCCTAGTTCTAGAATGTCATAGTTCTGAAACGTCACAGTTCTAAAACGTCCTAGTTCTATAACGTCACAGTTCTGACGTTCTATAACTCCCTAGTCCTAAAGTGGTCCAGTTTTAAAATGATACAGTTCTATAATGTCCTAGTTCTGTAACGTCCGAGTTCTATGACGTCCTAATTCCAAAATGTCGCAATTCCAAAGTGTCACGGTTCTAAAGAAGAATCACAATTCTAGGTCTATAAAGAGCTAAGAACAAAACCGACTCAATCAAGAACGTTGCCAAGTCTCCACTAGGCGGTGCCTTCCTCTTCTCCTTCTTCGTCGTCCCTGCTTCTCCAGATGCCGGATCTTCAGAAGGTGTCAACGCCTTCTGGATCTCCTCCGACCCTTCTTCCTTCTGCTGCTGCTCATCCATTTTCTGTTGATTATGCTCGTATTTCAACGCCTGTACCAGTTGAGGCAGATACAGAAGCACTTGTTCTGGCGACGCCGCTTCTAGAAGACGTGACACTGAGTAGGCACGAACCGCTGGATGTGTGAATGCCGAGGAGAGGAGTTCTAGAGCGTCTTCTGCTTCGATGAGCTCCCAATCGTTCATCAGAGCCAACGCCATTTTTACTTCCTGGGGTTGAGCCCAGTTGACGGATCTGGAATTTTGGGACCATTTTTTATAATTTTTGGACCATTTTCACTGGTTCGTAGACTATTTTCATTGAATTTTGGGACCATTTTTCATGAATTTTGAACAGTTTTTAATAATTTTGTACTATTTTCAGTAGTTTTTAGACCATTTTTATCGAATTTCGAATCATTTTTTCTGAATTTTGGACCATTTTTCATGAAATTTGGACCATTTTTCTTCAATTTTGAACCACTTTTATGAATTTTGGACATTTTCACCAGTTTTTGTACTATTTTTGACTATTTTTCATAGATTTTGGACCATTTTTAATGAATTTTCGATAATTTTAAATGAAATTCGGACCATTGTCCTAGATTTTGAGCCATTTTTGATAAATGTTGGATCATTTTTAATGATTTTCGTACCATTTTTTCCTGAATTTTGGACCATTTTTTCATGAAATTAGGAGCATTTTCTATGAAATTTGGATCGTTTTTCATAAATTTTGAACTTTTTGAATTCATTGCTCACCTCAAATACTTATTCAAAGCCTTTGGAAACTGCCTCAAATAGTGTCTGAACTTCCAAACCAGATCCCTCTGTTCTCGAGTCAAAACTTGCGATGACGGCAAGTTGACAATCATTTCCAGTCGATCCTTTGCCTGTTTATTCGGTTTCACTTGTCTATGACGTTCGTCTCCAGAATCCCGGATTCGACGTGTCATTGCACTGTGTTTGACTTCTGCAAGAGAATCCAGCAGGAGTTCCGGGTCGGAAAGACAGTAGCGGTTGCAGGAGGTTCCACTCGTTACTGCTGAGGCTGAGATACGCATCTGGAACTTTTTGGGGGTTACTGTAGATTTCGGTGGTGGTTGGTGAGAGAGCTGTGACATAACCGATATCGTTCTAAGTTGTCGAAGTTCTAAAATGTCCAAGTTCTAACATTTCATAGTTCTAGAACGTCGCACTTTCAGAATTGCGAAATTCAAATATGTCTAAGTTCTAAAACGTCGTAGTTCTAATCTGTCACACTTCTCAGGAGCTATAGTTTCAGAACTTCCAGTTCTAAAACGTCCTAATTCTAAAATGTAACAGTCCTGAAATGTCGCAGTTCTGAAACGTCGCAGTTCTGAAACGTCGCAGTTCTAAAACATCTTCGCTAGGATGTCATAGTTCCAAAATGTCGCAGTTCTAAAACGTCCTAGTTCTGGAATGTCGCAGTTTCAAAGTGTTACGGTTTTAAAGAATCACAATTCTAGGTCTATATTGTCTAAATTCGTCCTAGTACTCGAACGTCACAGTTCCAAAGTGTCGCAGTTCTATAACGTATTAGTTGCAGTTATGTAACATCCTAGTTCTACACTATCACAGTTCTGAATGTCATGTTCTAAAAAGTCAATTTTTAGATGTCAGTTCTATAATGTCACAGTTCTAAAATGTCACAGTTCTAAAGCGTCCTAGTTATATAATGTCACAGTTCTGATACGTCCCGGTTCTGAAACGTCTCTGTTCTAAAACGTCACAGTTCTAACACGTCGCATTTCTAAAATGTCCTAGTTCTAAAATGTCGCAGTTCGAAGCTGTCGCAGTTCTAAGACTTGCTAGCTGATTGTGTCGCAGTTCTAAACCTTCGCAGTTGTGTAACATCCTAGTTCTAGATTTGCCCAGTTCTATAATGTCACAGTTCTAAAACGTCGCAGTTCTACTTTTCAAACTCACATTCTTGCTCTCATCCTCATAATAAACCACCTTATAAAAAGTGGGTCCCAACCGGATCGCCGCCATTTCCAGCACCAAAAATATGTGTCTTTCGGGTGACATGTGCTTATATTTGGCACGAATCAACTCGATCCTTCTCGCGACGAACGGATCCAACCACTGAACGTCTTCAATCAGGCCCCTGGATTGTCTATTGACCTGTTTGATCAATAAATCAATTTCCTCTCCCCAAGTGTCCGAGAATTTCCAAGTCTCCGCCTGTTTTGTGAACGGATCCGGTTCAGTGGATATCGTCATCTGCACGTCGATCACACCCGACTTCAGAATCCCCCTTTTTGAGAACATCGAGATTCTGGACTGAGCAACGAGGCGACGTGGAAATGTCGAGTTTGCCGCTTCTGCATCGTCGTCGTGCTCCCAAATGGTTATATGGAGGAAGGAGTCGCGGCTTAGGTCGGCGTAACGGATCGGAAGGGTCAGCCATTCGTTCCATCGTTGGATGAGCTTCTGACGCGCGAGTTGAGAGGAATCGGGTGGGGTTGAGAAGGATGTGCAGACGGGGTAGCCGATTTGTTGGTTGTTACAGTAGACCTGGGAGAAAAAGATCTTTTTTTAACAGGCATTGAAAATATCGAGAGAGAGAGAGTCGGAAAAGTTATCGAAAAACGGCTTAAAACGGACCGAAATGGGTCAAAAACGTGCCGGAAACAGGTCGAAAATGGACTAAAAATCGCTTAATAGGGGTTAGCAATTTGTCAAAAACATGCCAAAAACGAGCAAAAAACTGACCAAAACGGACCAAAAATAGGTCAAAAACTGACTAAAACGGAACCGTCCATAGCTCCCTTCAAACTCAACATTTTCAGACCATCCAAATTGGATACGGTAGAAGAACTCAAGAACTACATAATGACACTATTTGGAATACTGCATCTTGACTACCTGCTTATGAGCCATTTTGAACTAATTTTGACCTATTTTAAGCTAGTTTTCGAGCCGTTTTTTGCCCGTTCTAAACAATTTTTTCGTCCGTTTTTGACCCGCTTTTTGAGCCATTTTGACCTAATTTTCAGCCCGCTTTTAAGTCGTTTTTGGTCCATTTTTGACCTATTTTTGGCCTGCTTTTCAGCCACAGTTCAGCTATTTTTCGGCCCGTTCATGACCCGTTTTTGATCTATTTTTGGTCCATTCTAAGCTAGTTTTGGCTCGTTTTTGACTCATTTTTTAAAATTGTTTTGACTTCATTTTGAAATATCGGCCGTTTTTTTTTTCGAAATTTCTGGTTTAGTTTTGCCCAATTTTGATAATTCTTTGCCTCCATTTCAAGCCAATTTTGGCTCGTTTTTGATCCATTTTTGACTCTTTTTTTTGCTCGATTTCCAGCCATCTTTCACCCATTTTCGGCCCGTTCATAACCGATTTGTAGCAATTCCTGGCACCTTTTTAGACCGTTTTTTGAGCGATTTTGATCTAATTTTGAGCTATTTTTGATCATTTTTTGCCTCCATTTCAAGCCAATATCGCACGCATTTGAGCAGTTTTATTTAGGTCATTTTCGACTAATTTTTGGCTCTGTTCAAGCCATTTTTAGGCCGTTGCTGGCCTGGTATAGGTCAGTTGCTGGCAATTTCCGACTCATTGGCTTGTTTCTGGCTAGTCTCTTTAGCCAATTTCGGTTTGTTTTAAGCCATTTTGGTCCGCTTGTGAGTCATTTTTGGCCAGTTTTTGAGCCGTGTTAACCTGCTTATGAGACATTTTGATTTAATTTTGAGCTATTTTTGATCAGCCTCCATTTCAAGCTAATTTTGGTCCGCTCTTGAGCCGTTTTTGACCCATTTCCAGCCCGCTTCTGAGACGACTTTCTAGTCCCTTCGCCTTACCGTAATCTCCGCGAACACCTGACTCAGTCTTCTCACTGGATTGATAACATCTCGAAAAATGCCCTCAAACTCGGCGACTTTGATTTGAACATTCGTTTGTAGATCACAACTATACACGAAGCTAAACGATTCCGTCGGTGGTGTCGCCCGCATTCCGGGTATCATTCGAGTGTGGAATCTGAACATAATTAGCCAGTTAATTAGGGTAATTAAGCAATTAAAAATCGAAATTTGGCATAGAAAAATACTCGAATTCGGGTAGAAAACCATTGAAAATAGATGGAAAAAATGGGGAAAACGAGAAAGAAGAATTTTTACTACAGTCGAGGATTTTACAAAAAAAACATTGGACAAAAAGGATTCGGGAGCATTTTAAGCCAAAAATTCAAATTTTCTAGGTGAAATTATGCTCAAAACTGCCTAAAAAGGCCCAAAAAAGGGGAAAAATCAATAAGACAGGGGGGGGGGGGTTAGTAGAAAAGAGATCCCAAATATGACGAGTGTTTAGACGGTAAAGAAGAGGACGGAGACAGCAAAAAATCAATATTTCCTCCGTTTGATTGGTACTTTTGAGTCGCGGCTCGAGATGGATCCCTGAAAAATTGTTATAGGTACAGTAATCGTCAAAAAAAGTGGGCAAAATGGCTGGAAAAGGGCCTAAAATTACACTAAAAATGGGCCAAAATGGCTCGAAAACGAACTGAAAATAGATCAAAGACGAACCAAAAAGGGTCCTTGCCATAGCTTCCTTCAGACCCAATATTTTTTGGCCAACTAAACTGTATATGATAGAAGAACTCAAGAACTACAAATTGGTACTAACTGGGTTACTGTATCTAATCTATGAACAAAGTTACAAGAAGCAATTGAAAATCAACCGCGTAGCTCAGACAGTTTCTGGCTTGTAACTTTGCTCCTAGACAAAATATAGTATTCCAGATAGTATCGTTTTGTAGTTCTTGAGTTTTTCTACCGTGTTCAAATTATTTGGTCCAAAAACATTGACGTGGACGGGAGTTGTGGCTTAAAACGGACCGAAATGGGTCAAAAACGTGCCGGAAACAGGTCGAAAATGGACTAAAAATCGCTTCGCTTAATAGGGGTTAGCAATTTGTCAAAAACGAGCAAAAAACTGACCAAAACGGACCGAGAACGGACCAAAAATAGGTCAAAAACTGACTAAAACGGAACCGTCCATAGCTTCCTTCAGCCTCAATATTTTTAGAATATCTAAATTGGATATGATAGACAATCTCAAGAACTACAAAATGATACTATTTGGGATACTGTATCTTGTCTATGAACAAAGTTACAAGACGCTAAAAAAGCAACCGCGTAGCTCAGTCGGTTTTTGGCTTGTAACTTCCTTCATAGTCAAGATACAGTATCCCAAATAGTATCATTATGTAGTTCTTGAGATTGTCTATCATATCCAATTTAGATATTCTAAAAATATTGAGGCTGAAGGAAGTTATGATAATTTTTCAGACTTAAAATTCCTCACATTATCCTCATCATCATTTGCATCAGACTCCTCTCTCTGATATCCGTTATCAGCACCACTCGTCGATTCGCCACTTCCATTACTCGTCGACTGATTCTGTTTTTTGGCGTACGGAGACGTTGTGGAACTTTTCGAGAACAGCCGCTCCTCCTCACGAACGCTTCGCTTCTTTAGTTTGTTCTGTAATTTTCAGATTTTAAAGAAACCCATAAAATCGTACACAATTCTGTCTAAAAATAGTTTTTCTAGCGCATCTAGAAGCCGAGATACAATACTTTAAAGAGGCTTAGAAGAGACGCAGACGGGTCAGAGTGTCTCGTTGTCTGCGTCTCTAGCCTCCTAGCTTCAAATGGCTGCATCTCGGCTTCTAGTGGTCATAGGAGTGTGATTTTTGAACAGAAATGTGAAGGAACTCCAGGGCTAAATGATTTTCAACATAATATCGAAATTTGGGGTTTTTGGAAAATTTTGAAAATCCCAAATTGAAGTACTTGTCAAACAACTTGAGAGTTCTTTGAAAAACTACAAAAACTGAGTATTTCTAGTCAAAAGTCATATTTCTAGAACCACTAGAAGCCGAGTTACAGCCATTTAAAGTTTTGGAGAGACGCAGACAGTTACAGTGTATCGTTGTCTGCGTCTCTAGCCTTCTGGCTTCCAATGCCTATATCTCGGCTTCTAGATGAGCTAGAAAGCTCGTTTTTGAACAGAAATGACTGGAAACTTCTGAAGAGCTAAATATTTTCAAACAACATGAGAAACTCCAGGACAGATATTTCCAATGTTTGGTTTTTTGTTGAACTTTTTCATTTTGATGAATTATGCATAATCAAAAAGATTTTAAAATTTCACACATTTCTAAAAAAGAATCAGCTCTCTAGCTCATCCTGAAACCGAATTACATCCATTTGAAGTTTAGAAGAGACGCAGACAGTCAGAGTGTCTCGCTGTCTGTGTCTCTAGCATCCTAGCTTCAAATGGCTATATCTCGGCTTCTAGTGGTCATAGGAGTGTGATTTTTGAACAGAAATGTGAAGGAACTACAGAGCTACATGGTTTTGCACATAATATCAAAATTTGGGAAGTTTATGGAAATTTAATAATATCACAAACTGAAGAACTTAAAAATCGACCAAAAATCACTTTTCTAGCTCATCTAGAAGCCGAGAGACAATACTTTAAACTTCAGAAGGGCTTAGAAGAGACGCAGACAGTTAGAGTGTCTCATTGTCTGCGTCTCTTGCCTCCTAGCTTCATTGGCTATATCTCGACTCGTAGGGACCCTAGAAAGTTGATTCTTTCAAGTTTAGATTCTTAGAATCTTAGATTTTTGAGCTTCTCAGAGTCTCAAGATTCCTAGATCCTCACCTCAAAACGATTGGTTTTGGATGGCGGCGGTGCGTTGGCAAAGTTTCCCCATCCTTTGACGACATTTCCGTATTCAGCAGTATCCTCCAAATAATTGCCCTCAAAAGTGTAAATTTGCGTCTCCAAAGCATCCAAATCCTCAACGATCGACTGCTTCTTCTGAATCCATGCTTCGAGCTCTTTTTTCAGTTCCGCCGGATCCTTTTCTTTTGCCATGCCCTTTTTTTCTGGAAAAAAAATAATTTTGGATGGAATTTGGGAGATTCTAGGTGGGGAAAAGGTCTGAAAATTGGTGTTTTTTCAGTTTTTTTTTTGGGAAATTTGGAATTTCAAATTTTTTGATATTCCAGAAAATTTCAGATAATTCGATGTTTTCGGACTTTTCAAAAAATTCTATTTTTAAATCTCAGAAAAATTTTCCAGACTCAGACAAAACATTTTTTGGAATTTTTCGAAAATTTTGAAAATCGCTTAAATTTTGAAATTCAAGCTTTCCAGGCGGAAATTTCGAACTTTCCAACAAAGAATTTTTTTGAAATGAATAATTTTGAATTCGCAAAAATTGTTATTTTTCCATCATTTTTAGAGAATTTCCAGGCTGAAAACAAAGAAGATGGAAAAAATAATGAGATTTTTCAAAAAATGTCGAAAATCATTCAAATTTCTGAATTTTCGAAAATTTAATATTTTTAAAGCTGAAACTTTCAAAAAAAAACCCGAAATTTCGATTTTTTGAAAATTCGAAATTTCGTTTTATATATTTTCCGTTCGTTTTTTCAGTTTGTGATTTTAAAAAATTTCCAAAAACCCAAATTTCCAAAAAAAAAACAAAATTTCCAAAAACTTTTCGATTTTGAATTTCTGAATTTTTAAAATTTTGAATTTCTGAATTATTGATTTTTTTGGAAACTTAAGTTTTTAAAGCTGAAATTTTCCAAAAAACTGAAATTTCGATTTTTTGAAATTTCAGAAAAAATATCATTTTTTAAACGGTAAAATACGGAAAATTGAAGTGGAAATTTACAAATTTTTGAATTTTTCTGAAATTTCATATAATTTTTCCTAAAATTCTCTATTTTTAATGGGTAAAATATAAAAATTAAAGCCCACTTTCAGTGTCAATTTTCAATATAAAAAACTAAAAAAAAACGAATTTCAAAAAATCAAAAATAGGTAAAATGTAACCACAGAATCGGCAACTGTGTGAAAGAATTTTTAAAAACAATTCAAATTTTCAAAAAAAAAGGGAATTTCAGAATTAAACATTCATTGATCAGGTTGGAAAATTCGCTCCATGGACAATTTTCCAAAAAAAAGGAATCGAAAAGTCGATATTTGGAGAGGGGAGGAGAAAAATAAATAGAGAAAAAAAATACCAGATAAAAAGAAACACACAAAAATTAGAGATTTTAAGAAGAGAAATCCAGAAAATAAGATTTTTAAAAATAGGTGAAAAGAGAGGAATTTCCCATTTCTCAGTGTTAAAAATCTCGATATTCTCTCCATCTACATGACTTTCTTGTAGACAGCGATCGATGATTGAATCGAATCGATTCGATCAGCCCATAGACGAAGTCCTTCGAGTGATAATTCCTGATTACAAGACGTTGGTGGTGGTCCGGAGAGTATTGGTTGAGTGGCCGATGAGGAAGTGCCATCCGATGATGAGGTGCCTTCTTTTGAGTCGGATTTCTGGAAAAATATAGGTTTTTTGAATGTATTTTCATGGATTCTGAATTTCTTGATGTTTCGGAAATTTCGAGATATAGAATTTCGAAATTTTTTAAAAATCGGATTTTTAGATTTACGGAATGGAACGAAAAGATTTTTATCAGGTTTTTGATAATTGAGACTTTCCGATTTATCAAAATTTCTAAAATTTCAAATTTTGAAACTTTAGGATTCGTAGACTCGAGTTATTAGATTTTTCAGATTCTTAGATTCTTGGATTCTCGAATTTTTGGATTCTTAGATTCATAGATTCTTAAATTCCTGGATTACTGGATGCCTGGATTTCGAGATTTTCAAATTTTCAAAATTTTAGGGGTTTTCAAAAAAAAACCTTTTCAAATTATGGGACCCAAAACGTTGAATTTTCAGATTTTCAGATAAAACAATGTCAAGTTCCACTGTTTTCAAATTTTCTAGATATTTCGAAATTTCAGATTTTAAATAAAAAAAGCTTGATTCTCCAGCGCGTCCAAATCCTCAACGATCTACTGCTTCTTCTGAATCCATGCTTCGAGCGCGCAACAGATTAAATACGGCCCTTGCTATAGCTTCCTTCAGCTGCAATATTCTCAGACTAATTGAATTGGATACTGTAGAAGAACTCAATAACTAGAAAATGATACCATTTGGGATACAATATTTGGTATATGAAGGAAGTTGCAAGCCAACAACGATATCAGCTTCGCGGTTGCTTTTTTAGCGTCTTGTAACTTTGTTCATAGACAAGATACAGTATCCCAAATAGTATCATTTTGTAGTTCTTGAGTTCTTCTACCGTATCCAATTTATTTGGTCCAAAAATATGGATCTTAAAAGGAACTATGACAAGGACCGTTTTTGGTCTGTTTTTGAAAAGGCAAGACTAAAATTGCAGATTTTCAGCATTTTCAATGCTGTTTGATGTACGATTTCCCGCCGATTTCAGAACCGAATGGCTGAAAATTGCAATTTTCCAGAATTTTCAGCCATTTTCAGAACTAAAGTTGAAAAAATATCTCTTACCACTGCTGCCGAATCTCCAGCATTTGGTACGACCAAAGTGGAAACAGTCATCTTTTTCTTATTTTTCGGCATTTCGATCATTCCAGACTCTTCATTGATTTTCGCTTCAAGACCATCATCTAGGATAGCTCCAACCAATAAATCGATAACTTCTCCTTCGGAAACTTTCAACTTTTTCGAGAGATACGAAATTCGGACGTTTGTATATGGACGAATCAAACGGAGGAGCACTTGGGTGCGGATGTTATTCATTAGCTCTTCGGTGTGCTCACGAATGAACGGGTCCGCCATAATACTGTCTCTGAAAATGAGAGGGGAAATTAGATTTTAAAATTTTTAGATTCATAAATTTGAAATCTCAAAGTTCTAGCTTCTTGGAATCGAAACTCTAGAATTTTGGAATTTTTGAATTTCTGGATGTTTGAATTTCCGAGAGAATGAGATTCTTGGAAATTTCATAGATTTGGAAGTTCAGAGTTTTGTCTAGGATTGCTGGATTTCAGAATTACAGAGTTTCAGAATATCTGGATTTTTGAATTTTAATTTTTCTGAATTTCTGAATTTCTGGAATTCTATATTTTACAACTTCTGAATTTTATAAATTTTTGGAAATTATCGTTTTTTAGAATTGTGGATTTTTGAAGTTTTTGAATTTTCGGATTTTTGGAATTCAGGAGTTTTCAAATTTCCGAATTTCGGAATTTTTGCATTTTGGATTTCCGGATTTCTGAATTTTTGGGATTCGTGATCACTGAAATTCTGGATTTCTGAAATTCTATATTTTACATTTCTGAATTTTATAATTTTTGGAATTTTTCCGATTTCTAAACTTCAGAATTTCTGGAATTCTAGATTTCACAACTTTTGAATTTTCAGAATTTTGGATTGTTATGGATTGTTGGATTTTCGGATTTCTAGATTCCTAGGTTCCTAGACTTCTGGATTTTTGAATTTCTAGTGTTTTATATCTCTGTATTTCTAGATTTTCAGAATATCGGATTATGATGCAAAATGTGAAAAACTCAGATTCCTAGAATTTAAAAAAAAAATCCACAGAAACTGAAAAATCACGAAAATCCAAAAATTCGATTCGAAATTTTCAAAAATCGTGGAATCTGAAATTTTTGGATTTTCTGAGTTCCTAGATGTCTAGAATTTTAGATTTCTAGATTTTTTAATTCCCGAATTTCAATTTTTCTGATATTTCAAATTTCAGAACTTCAGGATATTCGGATTTCCAAAATTTTTAGATTTCTGAGTTCCTAGATTTTTAGGATTTCGGAATTCTAGAATTCTGAATTTCCGTGTATCAGCATTCTGGGGTTCTGAATTTCTAGATTTCTAGGTTTTAGAATTTCAGAATTTTTGGATTTTCTGATTTTCGAGTATCTGAACTTCTGGATTTTTGGAATTCCGAATGTCTAGATTTTCAGATCTTTGGATTTTTCAAACTTTTAGATTTTTTGAATTTTTACAGAATTCAGAAAAATTCAGAATAAAAAAAACCGGAATTTTATCAAAATTCTAAAAATCTGAAATTTAGCGATTTTCAAATTTTCTGACAATTTCTGGCGATTCCAAAATTTTTGTTTTTAGCACATTTTTATGGATTTTCAGGTAATTTTTAAAAAAATTTAGAAATCTGAAAATCCAGCTTTACCGACTTTTTCTAGTGATTTCAAAATCTTAAAATGTCAGTTTTTGAGATTGGACCCGTTTTTCAGCGATTTTCAGCCAATATTATTCCATGCAAAACTCACTGATGATCAGTCATAATCTGCTCAAAAGCCTGAATATCATTATCCTGATAAGCCTGAACCATTTGTGTCATCGCAACTATCTCAGGCTCATTTTTGAATGGTTTCGCTTCTTGGGAGTCGAACGGGTTGATGTCTGATTTGATGAGCATATTCGCCAACACCAGATATTTGAGGCAAGTCGTACGGCGGGCGGATCCAGATTCATCGTAGTTTTTGAAGGCCTCGAAGAAGTCGGTGTGGGCATCAAGGAAGCGACCGTCACGAAGGTGCATCTTTCCACCGCATTCTGCAACAATAATATTCATGAAATTTGTGATTTTCATGTAAAAATTGGAATTTTTCGATTCAAAATGGGGTAATTAGAAGTCTGGAACCGGCATTTCAAGGTCAATTATGGAAGTTTCCAGACTTCGAAAATGGAAATTTAAATTCAAAATTAGTAGTTTTGGGACCTGAAATGGACATTTTTCTTAAAATTTGAGATTTTCAAGTCTAAATTAGGCATTTCTAGATTCAAAATTAGAGATTTTCTAGGCCAAATCAACTATTTTTTAAGTTGAAAATTGGAATTTTCAGGTCCAAAATGGGGAAATTAGAAGTCTGAAACCGTCATTTTAAGACCAATTATTGACATTTTCAGGCTGCAAATTAAAATTTTAGGTTCAAAATTAGTGATTTCGAGATTTGGAATTAACTTTATAGGTTAGAAATACACACAACTTTTGAGCTCAAAATCTGAGATTTTCAAGCCTAATTTTGGCATTTTTAGACTCGAAATTTGGGATTTTCCAGACGTAATTAGAGATTTTCTAGGCCAAAATATGGAATTTTCAGCTCCAAAATTGGGTGAATCAGAAGTCTGGAACCGTCATTTTAAGAATAATTATTGACATTTTTAGGCGTAAAAATCGTAATTTTAGGTCCAAAATTAGTTGTTTTAGGATCTGAAATTGAAATTTTAGATTCGAAATTCCCATTTTTCCGGCTGAAAATCGAAAATTTTTGACCTGAAATTTGAGATTTTCGCGCCAATTTTTGGCATTTTTAAGCTCGAAATTTGGGATTTTCCAGACGTAAATTGAAATTTTCCAGGCCAAATCGACTATTTTTAGGTTGAAAATTGGAATTTTCAGCTCCAAATTAGTAATTTCGAGTTTTGAAATTGACATTTTAGATTCAAAATTCCCATTTTCCCGGCAGAAAATCGAAAATGTTAGCCTGGAAATTCGAGATTTTCAAGCCTAAATTTGGCATAATTAGGCTCAAAAATTGGGGATTCCAGTTCAAGAATTGGGAATTTCAGGATCGAAATTCACTAATTTCCAACTAATTTCTAGCTTAAAGTGGTCGTTTTCAGAAGCCTAAAGTCAGATTTTTTGTACCGAAATCCGAGACTTTCAGGTTGAAATTTGCCATTTCTAGACTCGAAATCAGAGATTTTCTAGACTAAAATAATTATTACCATGTCGAAAAATGACATTTTCCAGCTCAAAAATTAGTATTTTCGAGGTCGAGGAATGACATTTTCTAGCTCAAAAATTGCTATTTTCAGACCTAAACTAGACATTTAAGGGTGGAAAATTAGCGTTTCCCAGGACTAAAAATATGATGTCTGACGTCTGGAATTTAGCATTTTTTCAGCTTAAACTTGAGTTCAAAATTGAGGTTTAAAGCTTCAAAACACGAAATTTTCAGGCCTAAATTCCATATTTGACTATGAAAATTTTAGGTCAATTATCTCTTCCACGTTATCCATTTCCCCAAAAAAAGGCTCCATAATCCGTGTATCCCTGCTCCTCCCCCTCCATCTTCTGACCATTCCACGTGTTCCACTTTTTCTCTCCCCTGCCCCCCCCCCCCCCCCCAACAATTGCCCTTCGTGTGCCCCGACATAACCAGAATCCTCACGGTTTTCGGTTAGTTTTGAGATAATAATTTCGCACAAAAAAGTCTCCATTTTCGTGCTTTTAGAAGAATAGAGTGTGTGGAGTGCGGAGCGTCTCTCGGAAACAATGTCGTTTCAAGAGCATCACAATAGCAACAACAACATCGACATGAATATGATGGTCGATGCGTCGTCTCGGGCTGTGGCTGGCAAGGGAAAGAAGAAGAAGACGGCGCATTTCAAGTAAGGATTCTGGGGGATTCTTAACTTTGAGCCAATTTATCTGGGTTACTGTAAGAGATATCAAAAAAATGTCAAC